GAGACCTCCGCGTGCTAAATAGTCCCGCTTACCATTTTTGGTAGGTTTGTGGACTTCTTAGAGGGACTTTTGGGTAATCAAACCAAAGGAAGTTGGAGGCAATAACAGGTCTGTGATGCCCTTAGATGTTCTGGGCCGCACGCGCGCTACACTGATGCGTTCAACGAGTATACAACCTTGATCGATAGGTCTGGGTAATCTTGTGAATGCGCATCGTGCTAGGGATAGACTGTTGCAATTTTCAGTCTTGAACGAGGAATTCCTAGTAAACGCAAGTCATCAGCTTGCATTGATTACGTCCCTGCCCTTTGTACACACCGCCCGTCGCACCTACCGATTGAATGACTCGGTGAAAAATTGGGATCGTGAGTCCGTTTGCTTCATTGCGAGTGGATTGATGAGAACTTTTTTAAACCTCGCCATTTAGAGGAATTACCACACCTAAAAAACTTTCCACGTGAACCGTATCAACAAGTAGTTGGGGGCCTGCTCTGTGTGGCTGTCTGTCGATGTCAAAGTCGGCGGCTGGCTGCTGTGTGGCGGGCTCTATCATGGCGATTGGTTTGGGTCCTCCTCGTGGGGAACTGGATCATGAGCCCACTTTTTAAACCCATTCTTAAATACTGAATATACTGTGGGGACGAAAGTCTCTGCTTTTAACTAGATAGCAACTTTCAGCAGTGGATGTCTAGGCTCGCACATCGATGAAGAACGCTGCGAACTGCGATACGTAATGCGAATTGCAGGATTCAGTGAGTCATCGAAATTTTGAACGCATATTGCACTTCCGGGTTAGTCCTGGGAGTATGCCTGTATCAGTGTCCGTACATCAAACTTGGCTCTCTTCCTTCCGTGTAGTCGGTGGATGGAGACGCCAGACGTGAGGTGTCTTGCGGCGTGGCCTTCGGGCTGCCTGCGAGTCCCTTGAAATGTACTGAACTGTACTTCTCTTTGCTCGAAAAGCGTGACGTTGTTGGTTGTGGAGGCTGCCTGTATGGCCAGTCGGCGACCGGTTTGTCTGCTGCGGCGTTTAATGGAGGAGTGTTCGATTCGCGGTATGGTTGGCTTCGGCTGAACAATGCGCTTATTGGATGCTTTTCCTGCTGTGGCGGTATGGGCTGGTGAACCGTAGCTGTGTGAGGCTTGGCTTTTGAACCGGCGGTGTTGTTGCGAAGTAGGGTGGCGGCTTCGGCTGTCGAGGGTCGATCCATTTGGGAACTCTGTGTTGTCTCTGCGGCTTGCTGCGGAGGTGGCATCTCAATTGGACCTGATATCAGGCAAGATTACCCGCTGAACTTAAGCATATCAATAAGCGGAGGAAAAGAAACTAACAAGGATTCCCCTAGTAACGGCGAGTGAAGCGGGAAGAGCTCAAGCTTAAAATCTCCGTGCAAGTTTTGCGCGGCGAATTGTAGTCTATAGAGGCGTGGTCAGCGTGGGCGCTTGGGGCAAGTTCCTTGGAAGAGGACAGCATGGAGGGTGATACTCCCGTTCATCCCTGAGTGGCTCGTGCGTACGACCCGTGTTCTTTGAGTCGCGTTGTTTGGGAATGCAGCGCAAAGTAGGTGGTAAATTCCATCTAAAGCTAAATATTGGTGCGAGACCGATAGCGAACAAGTACCGTGAGGGAAAGATGAAAAGAACTTTGAAAAGAGAGTTAAAGAGTACCTGAAACTGCTGAAAGGGAACCGAATCGTTTCCAGTGTCTATAATCCGTGGCATATTTCATTGGCGAGTGTGCGCGTGCGTGTGCTGTGGCAGTGGCTTTTTTGGCTGCGCTCGGTGTGTGTGCTGTGTGTGCTTGCTGGTGCCCTGTGCTGCGGTGGGACGTCAAGGTCAGTTCGTATGCTGCGGGAAATGGCTGCCGAGGAGGTAGGGCTTACGCTCCGCGTTTGTCTGTTATATCTTGGTGGACGAGTCGTCGCGGTTGGGACTGAGGTGCCTACAACGTGCTTTTGAGTGGGTTTGTGTCTCCGTGTGCGCCGTGTGCGGATAGCTTGCTATGCGTGTGTGGTTGTGTGTGGATTGATGCGGGCTTTAACTTGTCGCCGTTCGGGACGTTGACGAAATGGAGCGATCCGACCCGTCTTGAAACACGGACCAAGGAGTCTAACATGTGTGCAAGTGTTAGGGTGTGGAAACCCCAGCGCGAAATGAAAGTGAAGGGCAGCGCAAGTTGTCT